CCATCCCTCCCATCTCCCCTCCTCTCCTCCTCCACTTATCTTCTTCCCTCCCTCCACTCCTTCACTTCACCCACTTCATTCACTCTCCATCATTAATACTTTCTCTCCACTGTCGCTTCTATCAATCACATCACCTCGTCACCTTCGCTTCGTCTCCTTTTCTTGTTTTTTCCCAAGCACGTTCTCTTCTCTTTCCGAATACCCATTTATCATACAGTATACAGTATTCCTATCTCCTCATCCAGACCTTCCCATCTTACAACTAAATCCATCCATCTCGGGCCAAAACTCTCGCATGTTTCGACTTTCTAAATCTCTTTAAAACTACCGAGATTTCAATTCTAGAGTTACCTAGTCTTTTATTATACAACCTTATCTTCGATGATATCGTGGGGTTGATTTTGGCCCAATTTTGCAAAGCAGATCTACCCCAAATTAAGATAATTAGAAATTCCGCCAGAATTTCATTCAACCTCAAGTCAAAATCCATCATGTCAACACCTATACAAGAGAAAGAGCAATTCTCGTTCCCGGCATTTGCACCAGATCCACAACATTATCAACACCAAGAATTACCCCCGGAACGTCGCTCATCTGATGAAGATGGAACTCTACGGGGAGAACACCCATCTGAGACCCACCATGATGAACATCATCGGCAACATGGGCAACATGTCGATGACCATCACTTAAGAGTTGCCACAAGTTTTTCCAATGATCCAGAATACCTTCGCAAGAGAAGCCAATCGCCTATGTCGGCAGCAGCACAAAGAGAACAGTCGCGGCGGCTTGACGATGACCTTGAGATGCTGCGAGTAGAACGAGTAATATCGAACGAAGTGAAGGATGATGGTCACAGTATGGGTAGATCAATGAGATCGAGAGGACATGGTGGAGGAGAACCCATCGACGATTTCGATATCAATACCACCCCTATACACGAGAAGACCAAAATATATAGACCACCAGCACATCCTGCCACGGCACTTGCGAAGTTCTTCAAGAAGATTCACGGCTCGAGCATTCTGGTCCGATACTTTGTCTACATCACACCATTGATGTTGCTACTTCTCATCCCAGTTTTGTTTGGACTGTTCCTTTTTGACCAAAAGACGGTTGGAGGTGTTAAGCTCTTCTGGTTTGGAATTTGGTTAGAAATTGTCTGGTTGACATTATGGCTTGCACGAGTGAGTAATTACAGATTTCTTGTAGAGTATTAACCCTCTAATTGACCCACATTAGATCATCGCCAAATGCATTCCGTATCCCATGGGTATCATTTCCAGCCTATTTACAAATAACAACAAGAAATGGAGAGATTTGGGAAAAGCACTAGAGGTCCCAGCAACTCTGTTCTTTTGGTGGCTAGCTATTGAGATCTCTTTTCTCCCAACGATGAAGAACCATCACCTTGATGGAGACAAGACCACTCGTAGCTGGGAGGATACCTGCAATAATATCATTGTGTCGATTTTTGTTGGAGCAACCTTGAACTTTATCGAGAAAATCATCATCCAACTCATCGCCATCAGTTTCCACTTGCGAACATACGCGGACCGTATCGAGCTTAACAAATTTCAGATACAGAGTTTAGTAAAGTTGTACAAGTATTCAAAGGAAAAGATTCAAGAGCAAGACTCAGATTTTGAGGACCGTACTGGGCAGTCAGGTATCGGATCAGGGATTCGCACTCCAATGGCTTATGTCAACAAGGCACAGAAGAATGCGCGAACTGTCTTCAACAAAGTTGGAGATGTAGCTGGCAAGGTAGCTGGAGATTTCACGGGCAGGGCTGTAACATCTAGTACTCATCCACATCAAGTGTAAGCAATATCCGAACAATCAATTTCAACGTTTGCTAATGACATGATTAGAGTTCTCCAACTCTTGAACACCACAACTGGGTCTCAAGTACTTGCTCGACGACTTTACCGAACTTTCGGAAACGGCGACTCGGGAACTATTCTTGCGGAGGATTTGACTCTTGCTTTTGACAATGAGGAAGAAGCGGAAGCAGCTTTTACCATGTTTGACAAAGACTTGAACGGTGATATCTCCATGGAGGAACTTGAAACGGTTTGTGTTGAGATTGGACGCGAACGAAAAGCAATTACAGCCTCTCTGAAAGATCTGGACTCGGTCGTCAGCAAACTCGATAATATACTTTTATTCATCGTTATGGTCATTACCGTTTTGGTATTCATCTCTTTGATCTCTGCTTCCGCCTCTGGTGTCTTGACATCGGCTGGATCATCGGTTTTGGCTCTCTCTTGGTTGTTCACTGCAACTGCACAAGAATTTCTACAATCCATCATTTTCGTTTTCGTCAAGCATCCTTTCGATGTTGGTGACCGAGTCACCATTTATGGAAATACGGGGTCTAAATTGCAAGGAGACGATTATTTTGTGAAAGAAATCTCCCTCCTCTTCACCGAATTCAAGAAGGTGGAAGGTCATGTTGTACAAGCCCCGAACAGTTACCTAAATACACTGTTCATCTTGAATCAACGTCGCTCGGGTGGTCTCGCAGAAGCGGTTCCCATTACTGTTAAATTTGGCACTTCCATCGACCAACTCGAAGAACTGCGTGAAGAACTCGTAAAGTTCGTGCAAACCGAAAAGCGCGAATACCAAGGCAAGATCATCACCGAAGTAACCACCATCTACGAGAATTACTCCATCACCTTCAACGTCGTCTTCTTCTACAAATCCAGTTGGCAAAACGAGTTGTTGCGTTTGCAACGCCGAAACAAATTCATCATCGCCATGATCTGCGCAATGGAACACCTAGGAATCCAAGGCCCACGCCAACGCCTCGCAGGTTTCACCCAAGAAAACCCCGTCTTCCTCAATGGCGCCTACCCACCTCCTTACCAACCCAACCCCGAACACTCCGATTTCGGACCTGGACCACGCTCTGGATCTCTCTCCCGCGATCACGGGCCCATAGGTGAATACGAACCGTCAGCTGGACCTCAACCAGCCTCAGGTGTGAATCCACATCCCTCCATTCTTCGTCGCCGCATATCTGGCTCACAATCCAACGCCCGTCGTCGTGGAGAATCCCTCTCCGCAATGAACAAACGCGTGGATTTCTCCCTCGGCATGCAAGGAATGTCCTCGGGCATGGACCTCGGCGACGTCTTCGACGAACGCCCCAAAGTCCGCATCCCAGATGTCACGTTCACATCTCCCTCCCCAGGCCCCACATCCCGCCCTAGTCGGGAAATCCATTCTCGAGACCGAGACGGTGAAAGTCTCGTCAAACAATCAACGCGTGACTCGAAGGATTCACAATTGAAGAAAGTGACGTCGGCGAATAGTGGGCGGACGCATCGAAATCGATTTTTCTCCCGAGGCAGAGCAAAATTCTCGGGCGTGATGGATGAAGATGAAGGGACCAATCTAGATGAATTAGAAGCGGGGCTCCACTCGCATCTGATGGAAACTCACGGTACGGAACTACGAGATATACCCGAAGCATCGGGTACATCGACGGCGAATGCGAGTCCAGGGGGAAGAATCGATCCAAGATCGGGAATCGTGAGTCCCCAGGCGGTACAGAATGATAGTGTGCGTGAAAGGGGAGAATTGCCGCAGGTGGGTAAGATTGGGGGACCGCCGAGGAGGGCTTTTACTGGTGTTTAGGGTGACGTGTGCACTATAGTATAGTTAATACTGTACAGAGGGAGGAAAGGGAAGGGGAGAGGAGAGGAGAGGATGAATGATATTTAGTGTGTGCATGCATGCATATAAGGGAGGCGTTTTTATAATATTTCGAGCATAGATAGCGGGAATAGTACATAGCAGCTAAGTGCTGCAGGCTAGTGAGTGGATTTGGATTTGGATTTTGCGATGTTTGGATGGATATACATATATGAATGGAGTTGGGCTTTGCATTGGCATATCTGGATGGCATGATGAACGATATATAACAAGATAGATAGATCAGGAAAAAAGATACCTTGGATAATCAAAAGTAATGAATTGTTTTAATTTTCATCTGCACCAGATCATCACTGAGAGTAGAGTACAACTTCATTTTTCATTTCATACAATAGGCGATATCCTCACAAAAGTAGGTTAGTGCGCGACAGCAGCAAAATTGATAAAAACCCAAATGCATTTGTGATATCTCCCTAATAGTCCATCCCAACAGCCAGCCAAAAGAATACATAATAGTAACAAATACACGCAACGGATCCCGTCCGTATGGCAGGTAATCTTTCCCAACTGATTTGCTTTTTTCTCCCCTCTACTCCCTGTCTACCAAGAAACACAGATAGAACCCCCCTTTCCCTCAAAGCGACAACACCCAAAGAAATGCAAAATAGAGACCAAACAAATCAACTTGATTGCGTAGCGACTCCTCGTCCGTCGAAATATCTTATCAGCACCCACTCCTGCCACCAGACCAAAACAGAAAAAGAAATCGAAGACGATATTGTATGATCATAATCTCGTCTCTCGTAACTCATGCTCAATCAACCACTTAACAATCCATTCCTGTCTCAGTACCCATAGTTTAGAAATCCCAGAAATCACCACCGATAGATTTCTGATTTTGTGCTTTGCCCGGGCGACCGTTACGAAATTTGCTTCCTGCACCGTTGAGGCCACCGCTTTCCTCTCCATCAGAATCATCTCCAAATCCCCAGCTTCGACCTGCACCCTTGTTACCACCCATACCATCACCCATTGTCTTGATACCGGTCTTTTGGTCAGTACGGTTTGAAGCGGTGTCGATTTCCGACAATGGTTCTTTGGTAGAATTGGAGCGGATTGGTGAAGAAGGGTCGTTTTCCTTTTGAGAGTTCTTTTTGATGGGTGATTGATCGTATGTGTCCCAGTTGGCATCCATCATCTTTACAGCCTTGGCTCTATCTCCTCCCATGGGGGCAGGGGCTTGTCCGGTAACTGGTGAGTTATCAGCCATGCTGAAATGCAAATCGAAGTCCTTGTGTCTGTCCTTAGCATTTGGGAGACCTACAGCCAGCTTCTTCGAAGCTGGAGTCTCACTTCCATTATCAAATAAAGTATCCTTGTACAGTCCAAGTCCATTATTATTTCCTTGTCCACGAGGTCTGCCAACAATGCGACGTTCTTGTTGTGGAGTGCTTTCATCCCGGAACTCGAAATGTGGTTGAGCATCCTTGCGAGGTTTATCGGTCTTCTTGAGCTTGACGGGACTATCCAAGACTTCATCATCACTGTTGCCCCAATGACGAACTTCAGCCGCGCGAAGAACTTTCGTGGGAACAACCTTTTGCGGTGTTTGGAAATCATCGAAACCCCATTGGCTTTGATGTTGGCCTTTGCCACCTTTGCCACTTACCGGCCGAATGGGATTCTCTCCCTCGGACGCATCTGTCATATCAAAATGATCATATCTAGCTGGATTGGGACGGTACATGGGATCCTTCGACTTCTCACGGACAGGACTATCGGAAGGAAATTCTTGCTCATCGTTATCGAATAGTCGAGATGGTGCAAATCTCTTGGTAGCGCCTGCTTTAGAACCACCTTTGGAGGATTCTGCGAGGGCTGCAGAATCATCTGAGTCGTTATTCACAAAAAGGTCTTGATAATCGCGTTCGATTGGTTTTGCTGATACGCTGGCTGCTACAGCAGCTGGACGGGACTCATGTACAACATTTTCACGAGGAGCGAAGAGGGAAAGGCTTGCATGTGGATCGCGCGTCGCGTTGTTGGAGTTACCTCTCGCCCGGGCGAGAGAGTCTGCGTTTGAAGCGGCGTCTGATATACCAGCACTTTTAACACTTGATGTGATGAGCTTTATTTGATCACTTCCGTCGCGTATTGGCCAATTTCGCCCAGTCCTTCCGATGACGTCGATCAATTTGAGAAGCGAACCTTGGTCCCAATTCTGTCGGATTTGTTGGATCTTGCCGTGGGTATCGAAGCTGACGATATGAATCTGCCATTATCAGTATGCGAATGCCATGAAACATACGACATCAAACTTACTATCGGAAAGGTGACTGTACGATCAGCGAGAAAGTTGTCATCCAGTCCAGGCAGGTAGGATCCTCCTGATGTTTTGAATTCGACGGTCGTATGAATTTCGGCAGCAATGGAACTGGAGCCTTCTACAATATTCAGGAAGCTCTCTTCTTTCTTCTTGAGTTGATGTTCTTGTCCATTTAGATGCTTGACGATGTTAGATGATCCATTGACAGTAATGAGAGTCGTAATGAAGTGGAGAGAGGCATCATCTGCGAGTAAAGAGGGGTTTGGGGCAGATAGAAACTGCTTATAAGCAGACTGAAGTGACATTTTTGAGGTTGAGATGGCTTATGGTGAAATGCACAACAGATGCAGATTGATGTTGGAGAAGGAGTCGTGGTCAATTACTGTTTGACAGATGAAGATGTCTCAGATTGCGCGACGTCAATGTATGACCAGAACCGTATTGTTGATGTTGTTGTTGTTGATGGAGGATGCGGATGGAGCTTTATGAGAAAGGGAAAGGAAAAGGAAAAGTAAAGAAGGATACCGGGTAATGTTTATTGGTTCGCGACTTCTATTGCAAATTATCTTTATGCCGCATAACTTTATTTCAGTAAATTTTATATCATAGAAGAAATATCAAATTACCGTATTATATCATATCTAATAAGAGGGGTTTTTTTATTATCAGGACTGTTTGTTTATATTAAACTTTACTCGTTTTGGCTTAGTCATGTTTACTTTATGTCTCCACTACCTTAGCAACGGTTACTACTGCATGTCAGATTCTCCATTCTCCATACCTTTGTTTCAGAGTAGCGAATGGGGAAATGTACTGTGATGAAATTAATACGGGTATGAAGAGAATGTTTTTCTTATTAGAGCACAACTCCGACGATAATCTATCACTTCAGGATCAGTTAATTACACAATAATGATCCGAAGTTCATTTTCGATAAAGGATAGTCCACATCCTTTTCTTATCATTTGAGAATCTATAAATTACGAGCGTGACCATTTTCATGGCAAGCTTTAAATATTACCGGCTATTTTTTTGCTGAAGCATATTAAATCCCGGGTCATCGGGTAACAAATCGGTCAACTATCCCGCTTACCCATGAAAAGCCGATTAACATCCGGAGCGTGTTACATCATGTAAATCTTACTATTTCAAACGGATACCCAATGATGCACTTTACCAGTGATTATCGGGCTAACTATCAACTGCTGCAGCCAATGAACCAAATGAATGCCCTTTTAACAACCTCCTCTGGCTGGTAAAATATTAATCTTCATCTCCATATGAGATGATAGTTACCCTAATTATACCGGTATATTCAACTACACTAGGCGTCACACTCTCAAGCCTAATGTTGCATTACGGCAACTGGTGAGTTATTATCCATAAGTCAACTACCTTACTTTCA